AATAATATCATCAGAAACATATGGCTTACTTAAAATAAACAAGCTAAATAAATGAGTACAGTACATATTGCTTACCCTAATAGTAATATTAGAAAATTATAGTTCTTGATTGTGATTCAGCTATCCCTTCTCTTTATATAAAAATAAGGAAATTGCTATATTTAAATCATTTTGCAACAAGTAATTACGGCAATTAATAAATACTTGTAATGAATTTACGACTTTGCCGTTATGTCTGCAAATAAGATAATTTTAATGAAATCATTCTAAAATTCAAGAAATATGTTGACTGTGTCCAGTTTAAGGCAGTAAATGTTCTTAGTAATGATATAGTAGTATTAAATATTTCACGTTTCAAACCTATAATATATATCACCTACCACAAATACACTTTGTCTACTACTTCATGACCTCTTAAAATTAAGACACGATTTAATAAAATGGTATGGAAAGTTAAACTGTTAGGCATAAATGCTCTAATATTCTCGCGTAAAAGCCTTTCATTTTCAAGACTTCCTTCTCGCATTACCTATTTTTCAAGACTCTTTCGAAGCAGCAACAGTGATCTAATAAATTTTTCTACTTACCCGTAACGCTATTATTATAGAATTTAAGATTTAAGGCATCCAAATCCATGCTCTTCAGCACTTTTACTAATCATATTCCCGTTACAAATATGACATTTTACTAGATACTATACAAGATGACGTAGCTTGGCAAATTTTATCGATCTTTGCATCCTATAACTCGGATCTGTAGATGGATATTAAAAAATATATACTTAAAGACACTCACAAACTGCCGTTTTTTACTTAAATTCAAGGCCAGATTAAAGTAGTCTCCAAATGTTCTTCATAAAATTTATTCCACGGGAAATTTAGAATCAATAGCTAATTTTTCTCCATGATCCAACCTTTAATACGGCTCTTAATATGAAAAATTTGTCATTACGTTTTGCCCCTAAAAGATAGCTAAAACAATATACCATACTGTAAATGAACAAAAAATTATTCAAGAAACTGCTGGTAATGTGATTTGGAAATTAAATAAATTGCACGCTTGACAAACTGAACTGAGACCAGGCTAAAATTAGATTGTAATAAGATCACAGATATTTTGTATTAAATATTTCATGAATCAAAATAAAACTTATCGGTACTAATTTATTTCAACTAGTAAACTGTTTGGATCGCAACGATGTAGTGACCAAAGTATATACCGGTTACTGAAATTAGCTAAGATAATGAAATGGAAAGTCCATGGATTTTGCCATTGGCCTAATCAGCAAACTCAATATTCATTACAGGATTTATCCTACGATCAATTATTCAATACTCGGATAAAGAAAGGTAAACACAATTGTAATCAATGCACTTTGTTAAGTATTTATTGTAGTTTATGCTTATTTATTAATTAAAATTGGACACTATTCATTGTATATTCCATTACTTTCATGCAAGTATTTTGAAACATTTATCTAATGTGAGCCGTATATCAGTCTTTAAATTACCCATAATGATAATTCTTTACTGGTCATAAAATGAAGTTGCAAAACACCAACGATTGTTTGGCCATGATTAACATTCGGAAATATTCATTTTAAATCGGTACCGCAATTGATAATTATTAAGCGTAATATTAATAATTCGACTCCGTAAGTAAACTATGACATTCTGAATATAAATTTACTATTTATCTATGATTCATCAGCTATGAATAGCTAGTGAATTTAGTTACTTTATTTCATGCTCCATCTTGATAGCTCTAAAGTATTTACTTCTTCAATCCTTTATAATAAACTGTAATTAACGTCTTTCAGAATAAAAATTGGCCATTTCATTTTTTTAGAATAATATCATACTATCATAACAGAATAATACGTTAAAAGCAAAACATTATCGCTGCTTTCATATAATTTATGTGCCATAATTGATATTTTAATAATAATAAACTAACAGAACGGCTTGAGCGGTATTAATTCTAAGTTCACTTAAGTCGATATGGAGTAAGCATAACTGAAAAGACTATTACCGTAAAGGTCTATTTATTAGCATGTTAGTATTCAACATACTTTTTTAATTTACTCAAAACAGGTTGTCATTAATTCATGGTTAAACGATTTGATTAATTATTATTAACTAGAGGATATCTTTGAACTACATGTTCATTAATATGCGAAAGGGTACATTTAGCTGGGAAATGATGCTGTTATAGGCATCGTATCTGCTATTATAAATTATTCTATGTTTATTTATTTCTTTTGGAAAGGAAGGTCGATCTGTGCCTCAATTTACAATTAGCGCCTGTATTTTAAGTTAACTCTTTCATCCTATTCATAAAAATCTGCAAATTGTAGCACGTACAAATTTATCTACATAAATTTATGTAAAGACATACTGTACATAAAAATTTCTCCAATATATAATTCTGTAATGAATAATGTAACCAGTACAAGGCGTATATTTGCAATTTTGATCGATGTAATTACGCAGAATATGGAGAATCTCATGAAATTCGAAGATGCGGAGGAATAATTTAGAATTTATACCGTAATTAGCACTCTTAACGACCGGACTTTACTATATTTACAATCTTTCCGTTCAAAAATCTACGTTGGCCATAATTTATTCTTGATTGATGTAGTAACAGTATCTTCGTCCTCATGGCAGTCTTAATAATTTCGCTAATATCAATATTATCGAACTGCAATGACAAAGTAAAATGGCTAATTAAATTTTCTTTTATTTTAGTTAAATAAATATCAATAGTATTATTAAAAGCTTCAGGTGAAATCAAAATTTGTATACATGAAAAACTTTGATATAATGTCAAAGATATTAGGTGATAGTTTATCCACGTTTATCTTATTAATATTGGAATAAATTCAAACTTCATATAGAACGAAGAAGATACAGACAACGGCGTTCCATTACAAGTCATGATTCATCTGTTTATCAGTTTGAAGGTATTGGATTAAATGCATAAATTAAATTTTAATATGTAATAATAATTCACGGTGTCCATAATCATCGCTTTGATTCATTACTTATAATTGTAATGTTATCGTAATTCTAAAGAGCTACGGCAAAAGAATTTGAAAGTAATGGTTGATAGACATTAGATTTAGATAAATGGCATCAATCAAAAGCATTATTAATTCTACATTATCATACTTATATCTTTCCTGCAACAGATTTATACGCATAAAATAATATCGTTATATCGAGATCTGATCTGAGCACATAATTATTCTTGTTCTTAGTGAAACCCAAAGTGTTCGTGAATTGTACCTTCGATCAAGATAACTGTAACTGGAATCAGCTCGAAAGCATTGATTTTTTAGATTGGAAACGACATCAAAGCAATACTCTTTACAATGGTACAGGGCCAATTTATGATCATACATCAAAAAACTGTAAGTACTTTCAAGCATAACTGATATATAAAGCTATAATATACAAATAAATGCGTTATAGGAGCACCTAAATTATTTATTGCAGTTCATTGTCGTATATAAACGCTACCCAAAATTAGAAATCTGTTGTTGAAGAAAACAAGTAATATTATGCTAATTTAAAAAATCCATATTCCGCCAGTAATAATTGAAAATTTTAAATCGTGGATTCTAAAATTCGTAATAAACTAGCTTTAAATAAGCCAGATCCCAATTAGTGGACATTCACTGGGAATATTAGTTTCTGTGGTACTGAGACTCTAAATCAAGTAGCATAAAGTGCAAAGCAGCTCGTAGTATATTGGTCTCCTAAAAGATTTGTTTCCTATTTATTAAAAATGGAGGCTTTTTCATCTAAGAAATTGAATAAATTACTTCGATGTTGCTAAGCTACGTTGTACTCTTATGACTTGTACAAAATTACGAAAGGCAAACATAACTCTTAATATACTAATTACAACCTTGTCAAAATTACCCTTAATTTACTTTCATTAATCAATTTTCTACTGCTAATTTAATCATAACCACTTTTCCATTAAAAAGAATTTGTTCAAGAATTTTACTGTAGCAGAAAGTCTTAAAAACATTTCACTCAAATTGATTTATACATTTAATTTCTTTTTAGTGATGTGGTACGCTTACTTAAAAGATTATTCGCCAATTAGAATTTACCGTATTTCATATGTATGCTAAGGATTTATAATTAAACTAATCTGAGCTACGGTAGTGTTTTAGAATAGTGTTAACTTTAATGCCATAATTAATGTATATAAACTAAGCTCGAGAAGCTCGTCAGGCACTCTAACTGAAGTACTATATTTACGTACCTGACTCGATATATAATAGCGGACAATTTTAGCGATGCAGCGTTACACGAAAGTGAGAATAATTCTGACCGATGACTCTATAAGATTATAGAAGATTGAGCGAAAAACGGATAACTACAGCTGCATTTAACTACACACATATGTATCATTGAGTACAAAACTGCTTAATGTGATACTGTAATATGTAATAGGTTTTATAATAGTATAGACCCACCCATACTAAAAATTTTTTTGAAGCATCTTTAATTTCAGTTGGGTTACAATTGCTGACTATAATATATAATCATATTGATCGGAAGGATTATCCTTAAAAATTGGCAACTTGATTTAGCATGAATGAGACTATTAATCTTAACTAGGAGTAAAACTAAATCCTGATATCGATTACCTGTTGTTAAGCAAGTTTTTAATTTTTGTTACTTTATTTTAATTTAATTGTGATCTTTCGATCAAGTTGCTTAATGATATCATCATACTAATACCTTTTAACACTTATTGATATTTAAATTACAGCCTTCGGTTATTATATGTATATTAACAGTTCCAGTCTTGAAATTCAAAATCAATATGCGGATTTAATTAGTCCACCATTATTATCACCTGGATATGGAAACGATATCAATGTAAATGGATTCTGAATAATTTTAACTATTATGATATGCATCATTTCTATAAAATAATTATACATTAATTTACTTGCCAGATTACGTTTTACTATCATGCCTATGGCGTATCATCTGGTAAACTCTACGTATATGCTATGTATCCGAAATATAGCGCTTCATTATATCTATTGGAAAAAATATCATTAATTTCAAGGAATTCTTGGCTGAAAGCATCAATCCAATTTAAAACAAATTACTCAGACTATCGCGTAAGTTATTAATTGGTATCTGGAAAATATAAGTTAGGAATTGATTTGCTTACTGAAGATGGCTGATAATGTCATAAAATACCTATACTCTGCTCATAATAGATAGTATAAATGAACGACTTTAAGCATCGATACTATGCAGATAATATCTACTCGATCGATGAAATTGTGTAATGCCTGCGATTTTTATCCTTTGCATTATGAATGATTATATCAGCAAGGTTGATAAGATTATAAATATAAAGTTTCTTAATGCCTACCTGATACTATCAGCATTACTTAGATATAACAATATACGTTCATAACGTTCTTGACCAATTCAGCACAGCCGTTCTGTCAGTTATCAATCCACTATTGTTACATTCAGGAAATTCAGATAAATATATTTATTATATGTCGGCCACCTAATAAAGCATTACAGTATTTACTAATTACGCTTAGTAACTTTATATTGCCACGAAAATTACATAAAGCAATTTGCAATTTGTTAATATTAAAATCTGGTCTAAAAAGAATTACTGGCGAATGCTTATAGATAATCATCAGAGGGGTTGTAGGCTCTAAAGTTGGTAGCTCTATTGCTATTGATGATGTCTTCATTCAAGCACTTGGTAAGAATATTTCCTCCTTCCTATATTGTTTATCTTTTTTTATATTGTGATATTACTTTAAAAATCTATTTTTAAAGCTTAAATTAAAATTAAATGTATGTAAATTTCTGTTTTAGTTAATCTCAATGATTCTATATTATATTTAACAGAAAATAATTGCTTTAGTCATGAAGGCCAGCATTATCGAGGTACAATAGCTGTCACTTCTGATGGCTACACATGCAAAAATTGGAATTCGGACTCTATTACATCCGTGTCATTGGCTTTATTGAATCATTCTATTGAGCACGATTTATCATCTAATTACTGCCGTAACCCATTCCGTAATCGATTAAAGCCCTGGTGTTATATTGAAAGCAACCTAACTAAATTATCCTGGCAATATTGTAATGTGCCTACTTGCAACTTTTCCAAAATCACAGTGACAGCATATCCACTAGGAAGTATGTCAGTCCTTTAATCTTGAATAGAGTTTTAAAAAATTATAATAGCGAACATAGGAAGCCTGGATTCAAAGGTTGGCACTAATTACTCAACTTTTAAGATGAAATACTTATGATTTATCCTAGATAAATACCCTATCAAGATTGTTCAAAAAGATGGGCAAGATAAACTAATTGGTCGACTTGCAATTTATTACAACGGACGATGGGGAAGTATCTGTCTTAAGGGCATGACTGCAAATATTGCTAGCGTATTTTGCCGACAAGCAGAATATGGAAATCAAGGATCAATCATTACAGGTATTCATGCTGACCTAATATTAAGTATATGGTTACCTTTAATTTAGTATTTGTAGTACTTCAAAAGATTGAGAGTCTACGGTAATGTAAGAAATTACACCAAATTAATAAGAAAAAATGGTAGTATTTGTTATAATTAGTATTCGAGGAAACTATGTTATGTTACAGTGGTGATGTATAACGTGACATAGTCAAATAACTATAGTAAAATGAAAGAGGTAAAGCATATGTAAGCTTACAGGCGAACTAGTAGAACTAAATAACTAAATATAGAAAGCATTATAGGAGAGAATTTACTTCTAGCCATGGAATAGTACTTATGAGAACTTAGTTCTATGTTAGTGTATTTCTACAGTATAATGGCACTAGAGTATAATTCATTATATTAAAAAAATTGAAAAGACGAGACTGAAGTATGTTAATAATACTGTTCGTTAATAGATGATAATATTACGATCGATAATTAGCAAGGCATTCACATTTCATATAAATAATATTCCTTATATTATGTCTTTAAGGCCGAGAGCAATTAAATTTTAAAGTTTCCGGAAGAATTTTCTAAAGCGCAATTTTTTTGAATTTATCGAAAAACTGAATTCTACCGATACTTAATTTATGCTATCACTCCGTATTTTACTAGTTATTTTCATAATATTTCGTTATCTAAATTCATACTTCATGTTGATAAATTTAAAGTTTCCTAAAATAGAGCTATTGTTTTACAAATTTTCCGTAATTCAATAATTTACTAAGGTCTTTCCAAAGCGTATACAACTCTGTATTCTCATGATTACAGTGCTTCATCTATTTAGATTGGTTATTAATTAAAATACTGATATTTTTAGTTTTAAATCAAACCAAAACTACCGGGACAATATGGCTACGTGGGTACGATATTAAATGCCCATCCTATTCAACTGATCTGACACAGTGTATTCTGGGGCCATGGAATGCCAGCCGTTGTTGCAATCATTCTGAAGATGTTTGGATAAAATGTTCTCAATCGAATCTGATCGGTCATCAACCTTCGAAAGGTATGCTCCTACTGATACTACGGCAGTATCGCTTTCAATAAAATTAATAATTCCTACTATTATGCGTTCATCCCGGCAAAAATAAAATTTTTTTTTATTTTCTAGCTTTTAGTAATGATAGCTATAATCATTCAACCGCAACTATTGATACAATCGTTTATAGAGCAAATAATGAGGATACTTACGTTATTGGCATTGCTTTGGGTTGTGTCATTATCGGTATTGCTATCATTGCTTGGCTGTTAAGGTATTACATCAAATGTAATCAGAGAGTTAGCGCAAGTGGAGGCGCAGTCCAATGGTCTGCGAATAATTTAACTGTTGCCACTGCTACTTCAAGTGTTATTAATCGTCCGACCACAACAAATTCCAGTGATGCTGAGCTAAGGACCATGTATGCATCTTCAATAACCGGTGTCATTACGCCAAGTATGTGGGAAATGTTCTTGAAGTTAGCCAGAGTCTTATGAAATTGTTATGTAATATGATGATCATTGTAAACCGCAATTCAATTTGCTTCCGGGATTTAATACGTGATTACACTTGAATTTGTTTTTCAGTATCATCGTCAAACAGAATCGCCAGCAGTGATGCATCATATCATGCACTGAATAGAAGTTGTGCCAATCACAGACCTCAGCATAGTATGCGATAATATTAAAATTAATTTACTGATTGGAAAATCTATCGTAAATTATTCAGGACTAATACCATGTACTGTAAATAATCGATCGATAAAATGTACAACCTTAACTTGTAGATAATATGAATTTAATTGTCAGAATAGTAATTAAAAAAAAGTTCTATACTTCAAATCAAATATTCGACCGATTTCTGTCTGTCATAAATCTTAATAGAGTGATTAATTCGTCCATCAATGGTCGATAAATCAATTTTCCTTCGCTATTAGAAATGGCAAAGACAGGTGTTTTCTATTTTTAATGTAGCTGCATGTTGCAAAACACAATTCTACCTCAGCAATCCCAAACTATATTTTATTCTATCTTACAATATGTAATATTGATATCTAATAATACTGTATTCAGGAATAGTACTCTGAACTAATTTAAAGTTATGTGTTGTTTGTGCTTGTGTTTGCATTATTAGGTCACAGTATCCAAGCATTTCAGGATAGCAGCTCTCGATCAAGTTAGATTAACTCTTATAACGTACCATTCGCTACATCGAAACTGATTTCTTATTTCCTATAGCCTATGTAGAGGTATTTCTTATTGTAAGATAATTATATTTTTAGACGCAAGCTTTGCAGCCCCATACCAACCTCATTATGATCGTAAAATGAGTCGTATGACAGGTATGCAGTACCAGTCTATACCTGAGTTTAGAATCGATTAAGAGCGTAGCTATGTAAAATTCTATGACGCTATTTTAAAATTTTAAGTGAAAGAGATCATCCTGGCATACTACTAACACAAGCACTCTTTTCATTGTCGACATTTACATTCCTAGATGTTGTTTCTCTACCTCCAAGTTATGATGCTGTCATGAAAATGAAGTTTCAGCAGAGAAAGGGAAGGCAAGGGAATGGAACAACTTCGACATAAAGTTATCATTTTTGTAGTGATCCATACGGTGTCGTGCATGTTGAATGGATTATCACATTTTTTATTGATAAATTCTATCTTTAGCAAATATCAATCTTATACTAAAATAACTCTTGCTTCGTTTTAATTGATAATTTAGTGTTTTATTTTTCATGATTGGTGTTGTACATCCATTCATATGGATTAACTGATTGTAAATAGTAAACAATGTGAACTCGTTTGTGGTAATCAGGGACTTATTAATAATAATAAAAGTGGCTTCTTCCGGTAATTGTCATCTTGCCTGTTTTTACAAGTCGCTAAACAGGCTATTGCTAATGTCATCGATATTGGTAAGAATTCAGGATTACCATCATAATTTTATTCTCTTACAAGTCTCTACCATTAGCGAAAGTAACCCCGGCAATTAGCAGCAGTTTCTACGACTCGTAATTGGTATGATCTATTTGATAGGTGAATTGTAGGTTTTAATAGACGCATCGATTTTACGTTAATTCACTACATCATGGTAGGCAGCCATCGTTATGTTTAGCAAAGTAGATTAAGATTAGTTAGGCAGTAGTGGAAGAAGTTAGAAGCGTTGCAAGAAGCGAACCTTTCTCAGGTCTAAATGTAGGCAATGTCAAGTCATTACGAGAAAGGTTCGTCACTTGCTGGATAAGAAGTACTTATCGCCAGTAGCACCCGTCCATATTCCTGAACATCGCCCTTACTGACAGAGGTTGCAAATAGCAGAGACTTGTACAGGATGAGCATTTTCTCTTCTTTCAGGTCCCTGCAGGCACAGTTAGCCATAGTTTCTTTTTTATTGCATGTCTATGGCAGGTAGCGATCCCACGGCCATCCGGATAGAGCGGAGAGCGAGTTGCAGCTTGCAGGAGCTCAAGTGACGCGTAAGTAGTGTCAATGACAGCAGCTGAGCTTTGATAGTCTCAACGATCAAGTGACGCCTGATACGATGTCAAAATGGTCAATAGAGATCATTGTACAGTATATTGTACTGCCATGGCTTACTCAATCTTGGCGGGACCACAGCAAAGTGTCTCTCCCTTAAACTGTTCTTCAACTGTATATTATTATTGTAGTACAGTTTTTGTTGCAGGCCGCAAGCCTGCAACAAAATCTCCATAAACTGCCCGCGTTATTAGAGCGGAGAGCGAGTTGCAGCTTGCAGGGGCTCAAGTGACGCGTAAGTAGTGTCAATGACAGCGTCTGAGCTTTGATAGTCTCAACGATCAAGTGACGCCTGATACGATGTCAAAATGGTCAATAGAGATCATTGTACAGTATATTGTACTGCCATGGCTTACTCAATCTTGGCGGGAGCACAGCAAAGTGTCTCTCCCTTAAACTGTTCTTCAACTGTACATTATTATTGTAGTACAGTTTACGTTGCAGGCTTGCAGCCTGCAACAAAATCTCCATAAAACTACCCGCGTTATTAGAGCGGAGAGCGAGTTGCAGCTTGCAGGAGCTCAAGTGACGCGTAAGTAGTGTCAATGACAGCAGCTGAGTTTTGATAGTCTCAACGATCGAGTGACGCCTGATACGATGCAAAAATTGTCAATAGAGATCATTGTATATTGTACTCATGTACTGCCATGGCTTACTTAATCTTAGCGGGAGCACAGCAAAGTGTCTCTCCCTTAAACTGTTCTTCAACTGTATATTATTATTGTAGTACAGTTTTTGTTGCAGGCTTGCGGCCTGCAACAAAATCTCCATAAACTGCCCGCGTTATTAGAGCGGAGAGACAGTTGCAGCTTGCAGGGGCTCAAGTGACGCGTAAGTAGTGTCAATGACAGCATCTGAGTTTTGATAGTCTCAACGATCGAGTGACGCCTGATACGATGCAAAAATTGTCAATAGAGATCATTGTATATTGTACTCATGTACTGCCATGGCTTACTTAATCTTAGCGGGAGCACAGCAAAGTGTCTCTCCCTTAAACTGTTCTTCAACTGTACATTATTATTGTAGTACAGTTCACGTTGCAGGCTTGCGGCCTGCAACAAAATCTCCATAAACTGCCCGCGTTATTAGAGCGGAGAGCGAGTTGCAGCTTGCAGGGGCTCAAGTGACGCGTAAGTAGTGTCAATTACAGCATCTGAGTTTTGATAGTCTCAATGATCGAGTGACGCCTGATACGATGCAAAAATTGTCAATAGAGATCATTGTATATTGTACTCATGTACTGCCATGGCTTACTTAATCTTGGCGGGAGCACAGCAAAGTGTATCTCCCTTAAACTGTTCTTCAACTGTACATTATTATTGTAGTACAGTTCACGTTGCAGGCTTGCGGCCTGCAACAAAATCTCCATAAACTGCCCGCGTTATTAGAGCGGAGAGCGAGTTGCAGCTTGCAGGGGCTCAAGTGACGCGTAAGTAGTGTCAATGACAACATCTGAGTTTTGATAGTCTCAACGATCGAGTGACGCCTGATACGATGCAAAAATTGTCAATAGAGATCATTGTACAGTCTATTGTACTGCCATGGCTTACTTAATCTTGGCGGGAGCACAGCAAAGTGTCTCTCCTTTATACTGTTCTTCAACTGTACATTATTAATCTCCATAAACTGCCCGCTTTATTATCATCTCCATGATCATATCCCCGCGTCTACCAAAATTCAGCTAATTTTAAAAATTTTATTTTTAAAATAAATAACAACATTTCGTTATCTATCGCTTTATCTCCTAGGCCACGACGCCAATGAAATTATAAATCGGACATGCGTATTAGCATAGTGACACGTTGCTCATTTTGGGCTGTGTTGATCTGGGATTCCTGTCACGTGAGATGCGCCATCAAAATGCTTCCATCAGCAAGAAAGAAAGAATATGGATTGTGTTTATTGGGCACGATTACAGCCTAAACTCTACATGTATACAGTGTGTAGAATTCCTTCCGTAGAGGTTAAAAGATGGTATTTTCATTGACATTTGCGGCATCTACAAGGAAAACTTAAATGGAACAGAGAGGGATGCATAAAGATTGCTTCCAGACAGTACAAATGAAGGTCCCTGCTAGACATAGTACTGTACAGTATGTTGTTTTCCGAGGTAGAAAAGGGAAATAATATTGCTGAAACTAACGTCAAAATACTATACTTTACATCATTATGTAGCTCGAGAGCTGAACTTTTTATACATGTTGATAGAAATGCTGTCTATACAAGACCAGTCAAAGCACATCGTAATAATTATGATGTACTTTGCCATCCCAATGTTGGAAACGCAAATAAACACACAGTCTACAGTCTCCAGTACAAATCATCCAGTAGAAATTAACCAGTTCACCGTTGTACAGCACAGTACATTGCACTGTACACCTCACAGTGCAATGTACTGTACCGACGATTGATTTATTTACAATACATTACTGTACATAGCTACGTGGCAAGAAGTTTCCCAAAATTTGCTTACTCGTCATTTTGCAATGTTTACTGCAGTTATTGGCTATCGCTTTGATATCCTGTAGAATTTACTGTGTACATAGATAGTTTTGCTGTCATCATCAACAAGCAATACCATACTCGTCTCTATATAAGCAGCTGAATGACCGGTGCTCGTCGTATTAAAGGGTAGTCCATCCAGTCATCAATCTCTTAGCTTAGCCTTTGCGACAGGAAGAAAAATAGCCATTGGCAGCTAGTTACCACACTGTTCTGTCGAATCTTCATAAGATTATCTTATTATACACCACTTTCTTCTAGCACCAAATAGTGACAATCCTGTATTTCTCCTTGAGCCAGTTTAGTGCAAGCATTAGCATCGATAATTAGAATTAACAAACCATGAACGCAACAACGTCTATCCTCATCACTTCTGCTGCTGTGCTTTTGGGCTACCTCTTCTACAAGTAAGTTCGGATTACTTCCACATTACTGTACTGTATGCTAATGGTTACTCTCATTGACAGTCACGATCAATCGATTGCACATGATCCACATTAAGAATTTGACACGTTTTAATGTTTGTTTCATTCTGGATTGATTCTTTCATTTTCTTCCGATCAATTTGCTAGATATTCCATTATACTATTATTCTTCAGGTCATTCCAGCTTGTTTACTTTTGCAACAAAGATTTCCATTATCGATCCATGACTGTATCAACTGCAAAGACAGTTGATATGACTCATTTTTTCCGCGTTTAATTAAGTTAATGAACCTTAACCAAGAGTAAAGTTAATCAATCAGCTTACTAGACATTGCATGAAGAAAACAAAAGCTGATTGAGATAGGAATAAGGGTGTGAAAGATGTTAGTGTTAATAACGTTCTATGACAATTGTACAATATAGCACAACCTATATACGAGTACATCTGAAAAACACTTGCTTAGAATGGATTGACTTACTTTTGATCCTTAATCAATAAGGTTGAGGTTAATAAGATAGAATATCGCTCAATTTAAAGATACAGTGGCCTACTATTGCATCGTTTTCTATTGATACACATAGCATACTGCACATAGACATATCCTATTTATTTGTCCCTAAAATGAAGTCATGATACCTCGTTCAACCGTTCTCATTCTACGTGTACATCAATTTAATGATTATCTATTGGAGTCCTTAAGAGACTTTTTATCTACAGGATTTATCCATTATATTGTATTAAATTGTTCTAAACCCTAACATCTATAGCTGTGATAACTTAATTATCGTAGGATACGATGATATCATGTGATCGTTATGAAAACTACTATAATGCCTCTTGTAACGAATCCTAATCGAATAGAACAAGTCTAAGTTTCATAATTTGTTAAAGTATGCTATTGTACTGTACGATTTAACAAAACTGTATTGACTTGCAGTAAATCATTTTTCCAATGCAAAATTGATATCACTATCTCTAATAAGAGAATTAAAGCTCTGTCTGCAGATAATTGTGTAGGTCTAATCATTGATTTTCTGTTATTATCCTACTTCTGCTCTAAGTGGACACCTACTGTGCAAACAATTCACTATTGGATAGATGCTTATTTCTACTGTACTATACTATAGTCACAAACATACTGAGCTATAACGTTATTGCAACTTGTAGGAGCTGGTAGAATTGAACGATTAATAGTCAAATTACAGATGATAAATCAGCTTGTGAATGAAATACGACCTTAATGTTTTATGCATATACTTTATCAGGAAATTTGTCAAGCCACTTCAACATTTCTCTAATCATGGCATTCCAGGTCCTAAACCAATACCGCTAGTAGGCAACATACTCAATGGCACTTTAAGAGAGGTATTATACAATATGCATGCCATTATAATCGTTCTACAGTATATGGAGTTCTCGTCATCATCATGTTGTAGTTTAGCGCAGTCCTAGTACAGTGTTAGTAGTTTAGGCCCCTGCTATGATGGTATCATATCAAAGTAATACACAATTTTAAGTATTATCGTGTGATTCATCTTTTTACGTAGGGAATTCATCCAGGATTATTAAATTTGGCCGCAAAGTATGGAGATATTTTCGGGTAATGAATATAATTCTTCACATATTAACTACGATTTGCTTTAAATAAACTAAAATATCTAGCTCAATCTTTCTTATGGACATTGTAAAGGCAAAGTATCAACTTTATTATTTCTCGATTTTAATTCCATATTGTAGTTTTTACTTCGGTCCCGTTCGTGTTTGTTACGTCGGCAAACCTGACGTGGTCAAGCAAATCCTTGTCAAGGAATTTCCCAAGTTTACAAATAAAGTAAATTGTGCTACTCATTAACAAAGAATAGTATAGAAGGAAATATCCGTTGTAGTAATGATAATGTCTTGTTCTAATTTTCAGATATCGTGTCATTTTGCTACTAACTAACTCTATACAGACGCTCAGAAACTAATAAACTTTGTTTAATATCGTTTATTAAGATTGGAGCTACCACTACTACAATTCTCGATCTGAATTTGGAGAGCCTCCGCTCTCTAGTTAAAAGCAGCCTCGGTTCACGGTTATTTCTGCTATATTCGTATATCTATGTTAGGGGCATGAGGGAATGTGGTGAGGATTGTACGATTGAAGGTTACCATTTCAGCGAAGGAACTTCTGTTGTGTATCCTATTTATGGTNTGCATCACGATACTAGGTACTGGGAAAATCCTGAGGATTTTGACCCTGAAAGGTAACCAGGATTATTACGTTTTAAGATTTGAAAGTATACGCATATATACATTCGTAAATCTTAATGCCATTCCTAGTAACGATTGATCTATATACTGCACTTTTTCTCTTTTTTTCATGATTCCAATTCTAGATTTAGCGAAGAAAGAAAAAATGATATACAGCCGTTTACATATCTACCTTTTAGTACTGGCCCTCGAGTATGCATAGGCATGCGTCTTGCTATGATCGAAATTAAGATTACTCTTTGTTATCTTCTTCGAAGATTTAGATTTATTCGAGCTCCAGAGACGGAAGTAAGTCGCAATATTTGTTAAACTGCTTTTCTAAATATCTTTGATTATACGACATCTATATAATCTTGTAGCGTACAATGTCATTTTTCTAAATTATTGCAGTCTTAGTAACCTTTTTATGTCTGTTTCTTTAGGTTCCAGTGAAATTAAGTGTGTATGCAACTTTGTGTCCCGCAAATGGAATTAAAATTAAGGTTGTCGATAGAAAGCACTCGTAAAATAGATATTGTAGCTTCATCTGTTATACTACTGTCATTTAAAGTTCCTTGAATTATTTTACATCACATTCATAGTATGGTACCTATTGTTACCAAGCAATATTAATTGTATGTAGTATATACAGCACTCAGATTTATATAATTTAACGTATGTGGTAATAATAGCAGTAATACTATACGTTGTTAAATAGCTTGAATAGGATCTTTTTACGTTGAATGAAGCATATTAAAGATTCTATATATATCTAATTTTTAGCAATTGCTATCTTATAAACTTATGTATATTGAGTGTCTGTGTCTTAAAAAATTACTGCAACAGAAGTTCTATGAAACCTATCATCTACGTCATTTTTATTTATTAATTTGAATTTTTAGATATAAGATAAGGTCGTGTAAGACCAAAATAACCAGTATAAGAATGAAACTTAACATGATAGATGGTGACATATACCCTGCAAGATAAAAGCGAAATAAATAAATTTTACAATTAAACATTTTGGTATCCTTTTACTTGTATATGAAATTAATAAATAAGCAAATATATATAAAAATATTTCGATTCTTTCGAAACTTGTGGAACCTCAATTTAAGATGGAGAATACCGTACAGATAGTAATAGACGGTAGTCAGCAGGCACAAAAACGGCACCGCCGTCTTATTCTTCTGTACTCTATCAAAGTTGTAAACAAGTCTAAGTACTCGCCATGATGCCTTGTCAGCAGTTTTTTAAAGGCCAGTATTGGAGGAATATTGCAACTGCATATCTGCATATGACTGAGTCGTACAGTATTGTATTGATTGATCTAAATGTAGAAGACAGGAGTTTGTCGATAGCTAGCGTTTGATCTTGATGAGAAATTTAGTAAGCTTTTATCACTCTTTAAAAATAGCAAAAGGTGAGCAGGAGTACTCGTTGCAATATGCTATTACAATATCTATCTATTCGACACTGATACTGCGCTCTGTCTCAGCTACCTATATATTGGCATAAAAGAGACGTATTTGATTGTGCACGTATGATGTATCATCATCGCAGAAGCCATATAACACTACGTAAAAAAGTAATGAATTTGAAATTCTATTCTTGCTGATGTGTATCACAAGTGCAACATAGTAGTGAAAAATTAGTATAATGATCAATCCGATGAGTTGATTAAGGGATGTTCTATCCTAGCAAATACTTTCCGTTAATATAACAATACGAGTTTACAGTGGTAAAATGCATAAAATTACAGTGCAAAATGATTTATTGACATTATTAATTTAATCTGACCGATACGGGTACTTATGCAACGTAGATTTCTTACATGCAGAAACATGCACAGGAGACAAATTAAATTAAATTAAATCCGACCGATACGGGTATCTAAGCAACGTAGATTTCTTGCATGCAGAAACATGAACAGGAGACGAATGCTTATATGTATATAGCTTGATTTTAGTAAAGACCATTTAATTACGTAAAAACCCGCTGTAAGAAAGAATAAGTATCCAAGTGAACACAGCCGACTTTTACACTAGTCATCAATTAGGAGTGATAATGAATGATTGTTTATGAATTTTTATATCCGATTAAATTTGCATGTTTTTAATAACAACTTTCATAACTCTAACCACTCACTAGATTAGACATGTCAGCAAAATTATTTTCAGATATACAATGAAGAATGTAATATACAGGTATGCCAAGAGTCTGGCAATAGTGGAACCAAAGGCTTGATCACGTTCAGTTGAAATAAGCTACAAATGAGTGGCATATTGTCTTTAGCAAAATAAATAGCTTTAGTTTTACGTGATCTGATGTTAGGGAATAATTCAAAGTTTCAAAGTTGTGATAATGTTCCAACGTAAAAAGCAAAATTTTTAGTTTTATGAATGCCTTCGAATAGCAATACGAAATCTAAATAGATTAGAACGTTCCACTTCAATGGGTGACAATTATTGTGCATACAGCCTTCTAATTATAATGATTTGATATCCGAATCAGACAGAAAAATACTTCCCAGGAATTTAATAGCTAGCAAAGTTATAGTGTTGAAGACTAGTTCAGACACATTAAAATGACAAAGAAGCATCCAGTAAATTATAATAAATAAAAATGAAAGTCTGTGGTATTATTTAACATTGTAGTAATTCGATGGAAGAAATGGCATTCTTGCAATGGTAGCATTAACTTTTTTATTTCTAACTTGTAACTGCACCTCTGTACCGATTTTGCAGAATGCAGTCTTAATATAACCCATAGCAATATTCTTCTTTAAACTGGGAGAAGGTGAACCACTAGTAATTATGCCTAACCCAAAATCGAAATGTCAGTTGAAATAAAGTTCAGGTAAGAATTAAATCCTTGTAACATGCGTACCTATTTCATCATCATGACTTGAAAAAATTTTCGTACCGCCTGTCAGTATAAAATAAAATGTTTGCATATTAAACCATTGTAAGCGTTTGGCGTTATCATGCAACGTGCATACTGTCTTGATTAATGAGCTAGTTTTAAACTTGAAAAATTTACCACGTGCAGGAGGACCAGTAGAAATTAACCCAACTCTCTTGCGTGACGGACCTTCTTGCAACTGTTTTATGATAGTATCCGATCCAGGAAAGTTACCTGTGTTTCGACGAGCTTTACCTACTGTCCAAGCAAGCCCTGCCTCTATAGGGGTGGTTTCTTCATCGATATCGTTTCCATACAAACATAGTCCTGCTTCTAATCTTAGGCTATCCCTTGCACCTAAGCCTGCTAGCTTAACCTCAGGATGTTTCAAAAACTCTTGAGCTAACTTAGCGCAATAGTCCGAAGGAACTGAAATCTAACGATAAATTTTCAAAGATTAAACAATCAATCGTTCAAGTAGCAATAAATAAATCATTTAAGTATAATATTTTCCTAAATTAGATTAACCTCAAATCCATCTTCTCCAGTGTAGCCGCCTCTTGCGATAAAGCAGCCATCAATGTCAGCAATATTACTATTCGTATAGCCCATGAACGGAATCTGACTCAAATTAGAGTTTGTTAATCTCTGTAAAACTACAGCAGACTTTGGTCCTATAATTTTAATGCCGAAATAACCCATGTCCATATTATGTAAAGTATTACAAATGATGAGGACAATTAGGATAGTAATCACCTTGTAAAGCTAAAAGCCCTCTATTAGTAATAACCTTTACATCGACACTTTGATGGGATGATGAGTTGAATTGGTTCATTTTTGTCTAAAAATGAAGAGATTTAGACGACATAGTGGTAGAAACAACAATGATCACCACGCTTATTTTTTTCAGTTTCCAATAATAATCCAGATTTTCAACATTATTATACGACCTGCTAGACTGATAACTTGGAAAGGTGAAAGCGTGAAAGTATTTATTTACCTGGATGTGTTGTACGACTTTTTCGCTACAAGCAGCATTGGAAACTACACTGATTGATTCATCCGAGATTTTACTGACGATTAAATCATCAATTATACCGCCATTTTCATTAGTAAAGACAGATAATGTACCACGACCTTGTGGAAGGTTTGCCACATCAGTAACAATTAGTGATTCAAGGAACTATAGAATATTAATGGAATATTTGACATTCATTATAGAATAATGAGAAAGCTACTGCTAAAAAATCACAGTATGTTGAAAGTAAATTTTTAACATAATTTACTGTAATACCAAATTTCTAGCAAAATGAACTATCATACATGCTATGGCATTTATTATAGAATTACCAGAAAGATACTGTATACAGGAAAGTGCAAAAAATCGCAGTATGTTGAAAATATTGGCAATAGAGTGTATGATAGTTCATTTTGCTAGAAATTTGGTATTAGTGTAAATTATGTTAAAAATTAATATGACCATCGTTATCTAAGCAATCCATAGAATTGACGTCATTCTCATCCTTACCTTAACACAACCTGAATTGCCGAAAGTCAATTGTAGCATATGCGATACATCGAAAAGAGAACATTCTTGGCGTGTATGTAAATGTTCTTGCACTAAACCACTACCAGTATATTGAATAGGAAGTGCCCATCCAGCAAAAGGGACAATTTTACCACCATGTTGTAGATGAAAATCATAGAGGGGCGTCTTCTTGGCATCGGAAGCCTAAAGTGTTGGTAAGGATATCGACCCATTAATAAATCAACAGAAGGCAATAGACACTACATTGATTGTATGACGCAACTGCAAGATATGGCAATATTATCAACATCAATCAATACTATGTTCTAATTTGAACTTCATTTATTCATTCATTGCTTAACTCTATGAAACAAAACTTTGTCCCTATAACAAAGAGTGCACGTAATCATGGATGACCTAGTTAACTCAATGAGTAAGTGCTGTCAAAAGTGGCAACATCCCTTGCAATAAGTCGCATTCCTACAAAGGATAACTTGATGCAAGATCAATTTTTCTCTTCCAAACAGACTCTATCCTAGCGAATCGCTTGCAGGTTATGCGTCCATTGTACTCGTATGAAGTGACGTCAACGCAAAACTATCATAACAACAACTGTAGACATTACTATAAGATATTGTCGTTTGTCATGAACGTAGATGAAAACAGAATCATTATCCTTTCATCATTTTTACTAGTACAACATAACTATAGTATGATGGAGTTCAAAAGTCCAATCTCGCAAATGAATCCAACGTTAATATACCCCCTTCCCCCCCCCAAAAAAATAATAATGATTGAGGATAACATGATCATTCCTTACTGTCAAAAGACGTACTCGATTGGTTGCATGAACAAAATACAGTTTACAGAAGCCAATTTCTATCTTATTGATGATACAATCTTAATATGGCCATACAGGTGCCTGCTTAGCAGAAAGTAGTCAATAATAGAAAATGATGCTGGATATGAACCCGTTACCTGAGTGGTTAATAAGCGGCCATTTTGGACGGTACATCGACACCGTCCAACCGTCGCCCAGCCAGCCGCAAAACAACGTTGGACGACGTTGGAATGAACATCATAGCCAATACGAGATAAAAAATGACCGGATTGGATAGCCCTTGCAGCAGCCATACCGTGGTGTCTCTAAGAGGTGTTGTTCAATTTAAAAATTGGACTGGGCTTTCACTGGGCTTTTGTGCTTGACACTAACTACAGTGAAAGCTCAACCTACCGTAGGGCGGAACCGCGAGCCAAACTGTTCATACCGTACCGTGTACAGTACTGTAGTATACTGTACTATACTGTAGACTGAGTGTACTGTAACACTGTACTGTTTATAATGGTGGTGTCGATGTAGAATTGCCCTGACTGTCTTCTACTGTATTTCGACCGCCCAGTCATCGAAACTACAGTACAGTAACTACATACCTTTGGATAGGAAAGTGGACTCATTTTGAGGCCCACATATTTAACTTAGAGGCATTTCAAACTACATACCTCTGGATAGGAAAGTGGACTCATTTTGAGGCCCACATATTGAACTTAGAGGCATTTCAAACTACATACCTCTAGATAGCAAATTGGATTCATTTTGAGTCCTACATTTTTATTAGGTTAGGGGCATTTCAAACTACTGGACATACCTCTGGATAGGAAAGTGGACTTATTTTGAGTCCTACATATTTATTAGGTTATTAGGGGCATTTTAAACTACTGGACATACCTCTGGATAGGAAAGTGGACTCATTTTGAGTCCTACATATTTATTAGGTTAGGGGCATTTTAAACTACTGGACATACCTTTGGATAGGAAAGTAGACTCATTTTGAGGCCCACATATTTAACTTAGAGGCATTTCAAACTACATACCTCTGGATTGGAAAGTGGACTCATTTTGAGGCACACATATTTAACTTAGGGGCATTTCAAACTACATACCACTGGGATAGGAAAGTGGACTCATTCTGAGGCCCACGTATTTATTAGGTTAGGACATTTCAACCTACATACCTCTGGATAGGAAAGTGGACTCATTTTGAGGCCCACCTATTTAACTTAGGGGCATTTCAAACTACTGTGCATACCTCAGGACAGGAAAGTGGACTCATTTTGAGGCCTACGTATTTATTAGGTTAGTGGCATTTCAATACCGAGAACTTGTAAGAGAAAATTTTCTCCTTTCACAAGGCATGGATTGTACTTCATACTTTGCAAAGTATCATTACAAGTATCGGGAAATATCTTTTATATCTTTTGCAATATACTGACAGACACCATGGATTTTCCAAGGGAAAATGGGAGGACGGTGGCTTTAGCATGACTTGATTACAGTACATTATTTTGGGTTGTAGAGGAGAGTTGAACAGTCTCTGGAATTGCTCTCTTCGCATTTCCTGTGCTGTAGTACTGTACTCTTGTAGTCCTAGGCACTACTGCACAGTAAAGTGGTTGAACGGAGTGAAAATGTAACTCGAACCCAATAAAACCCGATCAAATTATTCATTTTCGAACCCGAAATGAAAACAATTGCCATACAAACACTTTATTACCACAAAAATTCTTAATCCGAATCCTGCCCTCGAGTCAGGTTCAAGCCGGGTTTTGGGTTGACCTTGAAGTGCCAGCTACAAGGACACAGTTTGCAGTTCACTACATCAGTAATAGTGTTACTATTCATGCTGTAAAGAATGCTACTGCAATTCTGCGAACTATCTTGATGCTGAATATTCTAGATATTGTGTTGAAGTGGCAAGAACATCTTCATCTCATGATTGCTAATCGAATATGCCACAGATATTAAAGTATTTGACTGCAGTATTTAGTAGTCAGCTAATTGTTGCGTGTTGTACGGCCAGGTATATGAAAGAGAAAAACTTTAGTTCCTTTCAGATTTGCTTCTGCACAATATTTACCCTAGTCGATTTTCAACTCCTATGTAGTCAATGGTGACAGATTAGAGGATTACATCATCAGCATGATAATCGATTGATGTAAAATTATTATCATCTACTGAACACAACCATGCAAGGATGTCGCGAATACTTCCACTTAACCGCTTTAGCAATGGAATAAACTGTAATAGAGTGCATATACAGCACTTTCACGAAAAGTAAGAATATCAATAACGATAAGTTAACATTGCATTCGACAAGCGAAAAGTTCCTCATCCAATATACGCCTGTACTATGCCTTTACTAAGCATATGCAGTTTGAATGATGGTACTGTTCTATACTAAGTTGAGTTAGGGTTATGCTGGATCGATTTTAAAATAAAATCGCCGATGAATGCAAAGATATGCAACAAAAATTTTTCAATTTCCTATATTATCGAAGTTCAATATATCTTTAATTCAATATCTGATTTTATTTTGCAATGTGCAAGCAAGTATTTACATATTAAGTATTAGAAAATGTCGACATCATAAGTACAGTATGAATATCGTCATATCGATGAATTGTAAGTATTATGATAATCATCTATTAATATCGATTCATCCACGCGCTATTTCTAGATATGCATTGAATAAACACGCAAAGATAACTAAAAGTGATTTGACTTGTTATTAATGCGGCATAAAACAAGAGAACAAGAGCACAAGAAGCGATGATAATCTGCCATCAGTAACCAATGTTGAATCATATATTCCTTTACAAGGACAGACTGTAGAGTATTGCATCAAAGCAATTTTCAATGGATGCAGCAGCATTTGATACTGGCTGGAAAAATATTGAAATCAAGACATAGCAATAATTATTCTGTTTGATATTATAATAAATTTTATACAAATAGCATATGAAATTCAACATTGTATTTCTGGCTTAAAATTATTCCACTAATTGAATCAGCAAATAAATTGTGTCGTTGGGATAAATTCCTGTATAATTTCCATAGGCTCCCCATAAAATTGAGAACCAATCTAAAGGATAAGAAACAAGCGAGCAAACTGATTAAAGACAGACTGATACCTAAAATTAGATTTAAGGATCTGCTTGTATTTATTTGACGAAGTAGAATATAATACATAACTGTTCTATTACTACAATCTTTTAGTTCTCTTAGTTTCCATCGAAATGGATGTAATCAATCTTTATGATTTTTTGCTATGTAATTAAAACACATGAGAGAAACGATTTCAAAAATTCGCATCCATTGATCTTCTAAGTAGCGGGTATTATCTAAGCGTTACAGTAGCCTAAAGAAGATCATTTTTCGTTTATTACGAATGAATGATTTATATAGAAATAACTACACTATTGGTGATTAATCTACATGAAAATAACCATTCTAACATTTCATTTGGCCTAGGAATCGATTTGCACTGCAGTAAACAATTGCTAAATGATAACGAGCCAATACAAAAATGATGAATTAGCTGCATTTTCACCACGACACATCCAACAAAAACTGTTGTCCGACACTCGATAAAAATGAACTATTTTCCGCTTTGGCTAAACGTATTTCTCAATTTTCTAAGAAAAACTGTACTATTCAGTACTTAAAATTAAATACTAAATAAAATACCAACAAGTGTAGGAACATGGTAAGTTATCAGTATCGATACGACTTAACGTCACAATTACAGTATTATTACATAACCAGCATTATTGAAACCTTGCTTTATTCTCTGCAGTTATTGCATTATTGAAGAAAAATTGATGTATTATACTTACGTACACAATTTTATTATTTATCATTTGTAACCACCACAGATCTCTTCGTTTCCTTTTTCGAGACATAGCCTACTATTACGAATAAAGCTACGATAATAGTAAGAAGTCCCAACGTCACCAAAATTATAGGGATGGGGTCAGTTCTATCATTTTCTGGATAAAAAATTAAATATATCTTGAGAAATTTATAATCCTTTATAGCTATTTACTTGCAATATTAGAAAATATAGATAAAGATGGATGTAAATTTGAGGTAAGCTTGCGTTATCGAAAATTAACTAGTTGAATATATAGGATACATACTTTTAATTATATTTGTGAATTTAATATCATCCAGAGCAATAGCGCTTAATGGTGGTGTCGGGTTTGGGTTATAATCGATATATTTTGAGTACGCCACTATTAAAATCTTTTAAAATTTTTAAAAATGAAATATAGTTGATAACCTGCTTTCAGATTCAGTAAGTCTGATACATTGAGTTATTTAATCAAGATACAAACCGAAAAATCTGTTGAGGACTGCAATGGTAAAGTTTGTGGTATCCAGCCAGAAATCTGCTGAACTGTCAGCTCTTGGCTCCATAATGTTTTAGTACTGGCTCCTTCTTGACTGCCATTTTTAATTAATACTTCAATCTTTTGAAAATTTCTTCCATAAACATAATACTTGAAAGATATCTGCAAGACGACGTTTAAACATTTTTTATGAAAACTTATCCTTTTACCTTATTATAGATGTAAACCAATCTACATCTCTAATAAAAATTCTATTCGCAACTAATGTTACAGTTATATGCTATAGTAAAGCAAGATAACCCTAACCACATTTTGATTTTTGTTCAAATGTGCTAATATATTAAAATTTAATAATGTAAAAATAGGCTAGAGCATAGTTTTATGTCCATTTAATTAAAGATTATAGTCTCAAAATCTTACAAGTTTATCCATATAACTTAACTTTTTATGATTAAACTCTAAAAGTTGTATCAATAATAAAATTTCACATCGTAGTTCGAGGTTCGATATATCGAATTTAAGATACTTACGGAAGCAACCAAATTGGCATCGTTAGCTATTTGTAGTAATGGACTAGCTAATGCTGCCGAACTACCAGAAGTCCAAAATGGACCTTGAATGGTATAAATGAAATTACCTAATTATTCGATAAAAGTACGGATTCGGTTAACAAAATTCATTTTGGAAATACTGTCATTGTATAATCTTAAGTCGCTATTTAAAATTTTAAAAAGTAGCCAATAATCCATCAAGTAGTCTATAAACCTGCTAAATCAGGAATTGGTAGATAATGTCCCTCGCTATCATCTTTATACACCCAATAGGCAAGATTAGTAAAAGGAATCCGATGTTTATAGTTCCATCCACAAAATCCTTTTTCAAAATCACAGCTTGGGTCAAGGGTATTTAAATCACTCTCTATTAAATGTAATAAGATAATTATATTTAGGTGACTTCAATTTTTTTTAAATTAAAATTTTATAGCTTTATCCACTCGTATAGCTGACTTAAAGCTACTGAATATTCTCAAACAATGTAAAATGGAATTACTCTGAACAATATACAGGAATCCTTGCAAAGCTATCTTATATTGTGAGATTATCTTATTATCCTATTATGCTACAACTTAACACATTTTCGAATAAAGGCTTAAAAATCACAGCCAGACTTAAAAGAAAATACCGTCAGCTTTGCATTTTGCAGTTATCAACTTGTTCCTTCTCTCGCATTTCGGTCCCAAATCCACGTTATCGTATTTCATTTGCTGGCAACGATAGATCTTATGTTCGTAGCCAGTACAATGAAGGTCATAAATCCAAGACTTTCGTGGCCAAATGACTAACTCAATTAATTCGGCTGTCATTTCAGCACATGTTATATAAATATATTGAATCGATAAAATTGAAAAAATTAACAATTTAATAAATTGTGTTTAAATAATATATTCCGGTGTAATGAAAAGATTAATAATAACTTCTTAAAAATAATATACTGTAGGTATTTATTGCAAAGGTGTAAATACAATTTACCTTCAGTTGATAAAGCATAGAGAAATCCTTGCTCCCTGCACATAACGTCAGGAATATCGAGTGGAAGAGAATTATTCAAAGTTGAGCAGACTGTAGTGAAAGAATTGCTTGAACCAGAATATACTTGTAAGTAGCCTTCACGTAACGATTTCCCCCCAGCCAAGACAGAATAATATTCGATAGGATCATGGGTTGGCCAGCCTTAAACAAATCATATGATCACATTATTTAGAGCCAAACAAGAATTCCGGATAACATTGTTCCTAGATGGATTGACTAGATACAGGATAGTAATCAATTTTTATTGTACCTGTGGTAGGTTGAAGACAGTCGACTCCTATCGCGTAGTTATCGTCACAGCTTACTAAACCCTTAGCATCGCTAACGTTACTCTTGCACTGTTCTAGAGAATCTTCTAGCCCAGTGCATTCAATAGGATAATACCAAGATGGATCTCCTTCGTAAGCTTTATTTAGTTTTATAGCTAGATTAAAGTTATGATAATAAGTTCATATTAAATCAATCTGTATTTAAATATCTGCATTTGCACCTCCTTATCATGACGCATTCTTAGTATATTAATACAGCGTTTAAATATTACTTTCTGCACTAATGTTATAATATAAAATAAGCTTACCTTTTGTTATACCAGATATAGAAATGCCTTTCTGTTTACAGATTACAGTCGAGACTGTATATCCCCAATCACTACTTATACAAATAGTGCCCCATACCGAGCCACGAAAGAAAGCAAGTAACCCATTAGGGCCAATTGATATAGGTAACGTGCTAGCAACTAAACCATTTCATTTGCATTAAAAAATTTTTAAGGTTGGTGAAATAAGATAACAGAAAATTATCCTATGCAATATCTCTAATTATAATGCAATGTAAAATTTTCGCAGAGAATCTACCCTTTTCCTTAGTTACATGTTTAGGTCGTAAAAGAAATAGACAGTATAGTTTAGGCTGTATTCTATGCAAATTTGTCAATTAATTTAATTGATAGCATCGTACTACATTGAAACTAAATTTGTACACGATGAAAATAATTATTCACGAAAATATTAGATGATATTGTAATTATATATCAACCAAAATTATTTATCTAGGAAGATCTATTGCAAGAAAAATGCTAGCTGGATTTAAGGATTTCTATTTATACTTAGCAACTTCTTTAACCGTACACTTATAGGCCTGACATAAGATCGCTTACATTTCGAATCGCCTGGCAATGATGTCGGTTTAATTGGTAACCGAGGTGGACATTGCGAAAGATCGCAATATTGCCATTGGATTGAGGCATTAATCGTGTAACACCAAGGCTTCGATTTACTACCTCCTGGATTACGGCAGTAATTAACTTCCAATTGATTTTCAAAAGTCGATGAAAAGTTAGATTGATGTGGAAATACTGTAAACCATGACTGGCATATTATTCCCGCTTGTGTTGTGCTGGTTGTACCCCTGTAATATATTCCATAGTTGCTGCCGCTATAACAATCTTCTTCTACGAGAGAAGATATTTTGTAATACATTTTAGTTATCGTTATACACTATATGATATACATTAACCCAACAAAAGTAAGATTTTATTGAGTACCAAATGGAGAAATGTAAATGTCGTCGATTGCAATATCGCTATAGGTTCCTCCGTCTATTGCTTGAAAAATAATCTGTGACCATCCCATTCAATAATTGAAAGAATTAACATTAATTTTATGATAGCGAATTCAAATACGTATAACGATAATTGTAAAATAGAAATGAGGGGATATTCATTTACATTAACACACAAACCTGATATTCTGGGTATTGTGGATTAAACATAATATCAGCTTTTCTCCAGTAAGGGCCTCTATTATATTTTCGTTCCCAGATTTGATACTTTGTTAGGCTATATTTCGAATATATTGCATAAAGCCTAATACCACCGATATCGCGTCCATATAGCTGATAATAGAAGATAATCTGATGGAGAATAAACCGCAATTAACAAACTTAAATGGATTGAAATCTCAATAAAAGCTGGTATAGTCACAAAAACAAGGCAATACAAAAAATGGAATTGTTTCGTAATTGCTCTATTGGTTTAGTCTATTTTATATTTAAATGTCGATGGTCTATTCTATATTTCCTTCCGTTTCAGTAGTAGTATCACTAATGAATTTATTGAACGGGTTTGCCATTTAATTTTATATATATTACTTACATTAACAGTTTTGACCTGATCGGCTATGATTAACGGCGGACTAATAATTTCAGCAACACTATTTTGAGGATTTGGTAAAGAATTCATATAAAGATATTTTCCTGTAGCTGAAATTGATAGAATTTTCGCATATTAATTTAAGTATCTTAATATGAATATTGTACTATGGATTGTTTCATGAATTAATTTTTAGTCTATTTAAATTATTGCATTGAATAATAATTTCTTCATATTACAGTGCGAGTATAATTAATTTTAATAAGATAAATCTGTAGGCTAGCAAGAATAGTAATATCGGTAATCCCTAGTATTATAGCATCTTAATAGCATGTGATGTTAATATAGTACCTGTCCCATATGTATGATCGGACAAAGGGCCGGTTACCATCGAATATGTTGTCGGTCCACTTTTTAAATCCCAATCGATTGAATCTGCATTTCTAATTTGTCGAAAACCACATAGACCTTTCTGAAAGTCACAGCCTATAGCATCGACTGGGTACGCTATATCAGGTAGAGTATTTTACGGATAGTATTAGCCCAAATTGTTGCAGTGTTCTGTATTAACTCGATATGTGTTGGAAAAATGCTGCAAACTTACTAGAAAATTGATAAGGTGGAAGTTGGCTGCCAGTGCTACGAACAATTCTATTTCTGAATATTTCATTTTTTCCTCCTTATTCATAGTAATAGTTTACGATATTCAAAAATAAAACGATTAGACGCACAATCAACAAGAATAATAAGGTTAAAATGATTTGAAGAAAGTACTGAATTCAGGTTCAATCATGCCAGATAAAATATCTAAAGTGCTTATAATTATAATAAACTACTGTAATGAACTTTATTTTTCAATCGTTCACATATAATGCATTTAATGATTAGCAATTTGATTACGGTAGTCTTGCGATAACTACCGTAACAGTTCTTAAATTTTGTAATAACATATCATAAAAGGTGCAAGACACTTACTGGTACTGTCCGTTATGTTAGGTGATAACTTTACATGAAAACAATAACGCTCTGGACTATCTATTATAATTACCGATGTAATTCTATTTAATTGTACAATTCACGGCTTTTGATATAGCAATATTTTCAGGTTCTTAATGCTACGAAGCGCCTTAAGTCGCAAGTTAATGTGGCACGAAAACATATTCAATGAAATTTTTAACCTAGTTACTGCATTAATAAATGTAAACCTAACTATCATGTCCACGAGTTTGCAGTAGTACAATAGCTAAACATCTAACAATTCGCTCATAATAGTAACCTTGAGGGCAAATAAGTGCTTCAAGATGGATTGATTGAACTGGAATATTCAAAAATTGTGAAGGTTGATAACAAGCGCCTTCAACATCAATTTCCTTCCATTCGATCCAACGATACCATCTTGCAAATTGGCAGTTACAATTTGGTCTTATTAGAATACTAATATTAAAAAACATTTAAAAAGTTAAGTTAAGCCTAAAAATAATATAGTCAAGGAAATAACAATGATAGATAACTGATATTATCAAGCAAGATTCTGCAGGCGGCCTTAATTAATGCATTTATTTCATAACGATATCATCCATTTAATGATCTAAAATACTGCATTGAATTGTAAATGGACATGCTATATATTATCTTCAGCTATAAATGGATGAAATTAAATTGTCAAATTTAGACTTGTAACTTACATTTTCTTTATGTTACGATGCTCTTTATCGAAATTTTCGGGTAGAGATGAACAAATAGCCACATTTTTATCAAGACATTGACAACCGGACAAACATTGCATCGGAGAGCTCAATTTCGACGCACTGCATAAGCAATTTTCATCCAAATAGAGAGTAATAATGATGCAAAGCAGGCAATTTAAACTGAAAGATCTAAGGTGAGTTGACATCATATTTGATGCCGTTAAACGTTCTTAGTGATGATAATGACAACCCAAAGTAATGTTCTGACTAATAGACTATAGCCTTTATTATATTAGGGTTGATTAAGGCTAATATTATCAATTATACTAGGCTAAGGTATAGTGTAATATCACCAATTTGCTCATTCATCAATCATTTCCAAAGATAGCTGTCAGTAATAGAGTTTAAATTAACCCTTCAGTTACGCACCATGGACTAATATTCTGTAGCTAGACCAGAATACAATTCTTCTAACGAACTTGATAGCTTACTTTCGCCTCTACTTTTATACTGTAACAACGATAATAAAATGTTGATATATTATGAAAATATTATTGTAGTCACTGATAAAAGAGATATAATTTCTATATTAGTTTGTTACGCCTTGATTCGGTTGCATTGGCAACCAATTGAAAAGTTGTAATTTTACTGGTAGAAAAACTATCACGTGGGTTATTTGCTACCTTGCAGTATCAGGTACCACCAAAAATATAACGCGATGAATTTAGTTTACATGTTATACTATTGTACCAACTGATTTTCAGCTATTCTACAGCTATAATACTGTATAAAATGCTATAGCACGTATCAATACATAAACAAACCAAGGTAACACTAAATAGCTTTTAACAACTGAAATGAAATAAGAAGCAAGGTTTCTTCCACTTATTAAAGAATTAGGCAAATTTTCCTTTACTTGTAGCACTGTTAATTGGGCCAGTATGATACTTTAAATCGACGATACAAAGTATACAATACTGATGTATCAGCAAGAATAGTTATCCGTAGTAGTCTTGGAGGAAAGCTTAAAGGCTAATTGAAACAGACTGTAAATATCATATTAGTTCACGATCAGTTAAGGATATCTGGTGAACAGTAAATGATAAATTCTGTCGTTGCTGTAGGTTCTCATAGACTTTCTGCTCCTGATATCATATTAGATAAGATTAAATCGTCCTAAGTCATGGAGACCAAGTCGATTATCCGGTTTATCTTAGCCACTTTCGACTGTTATTATGGCGGTAGAAAAGTGAATTCAACTCTTATCTAACGTTCTATTAATAAACGATACTTTTTAAGTTTAAATACGGTATTTACCTGATTTTGTGTCGCGTTACAGATTTGCTCAATTTTATTAATAACTCAGATTTTGTGTTAGACGATTGCGAACCTGAGAGGCTGTAAACCCAAGCATTATATTACTTCATGTATATATTTGTATGGAACTTTCCTTAAGTCACCTCGATAAAAATACTCGTACTGTGTACTACCATCAAATTGTCCTACAAATCTCATCATCATTAGTTTGTTTTAAAAGTATAGATTTTACCTTACCACAACAGATTGCTATAACGAACGTCAATTTTAGTGACGCTTTATTTAAATATTTCTTTTATAGTCAATTAATTAATTGTAAGTACGCTGTAATACGGAGATATCGACATATTGATTCTATAAGTACAAGTATATCATTAATTATCAATACAGTATAAATGAAAAAACAAGAAATTATTTATACGCAAATGAGTCAGTGATTCCGTAATGGATGGAAATATTTAATGTTTTTAAGAAGCTCTATAATATTCCTTACTTGAGTGTAGGCTACAATAAATAGCATGCCCGTTCCTTGTCAACAAACTTAAATTACCAAAATTTTTTGGAACTTCATAATACAGTATCATTACGAGGACAAGTGTAATCATGTAAGTAAATACCTGCATTAACGTCAGTAAATCAAAACCTTTTCTAGGCATAAATGGATCTGTACAATAATCCTCAATGTCAATTAAAATTCTATTTCGTTTACATAATGCTCTCGGTTTCCTTCTATTAATCAATAGTAATGCCAATGAACCAATTCTTTTACAACTTATACAAGAAACTTATGATATTAATCAATTTTACTGCATAATTTATGCCACCATGTGGATACGAACTCAACGATATGCAAATGATACAGACAGCAAGCACTGCTGATAAGGATATCCTACGCTAATTACGGGTAATCTAATTTAAGAAATATGAAATAATGTTGGAATAGAAACTATAGATATAAACTAAACATGTTATTTTGTTTATTCGTTGATTGTATCTAAGTTTAAATTAGCAAGTTTTATATACGGATGTGATTTCCTACCTATTCCACCGTAATACGAATAATCCCATAAACGTGACATAACGGAATTTTAGACTGAAAAACTTATGATAGTGTAACTCAAATTTACGGCAATGATATCATTTCTTCATGGTGACCATATGGCGGGTAATATAATAATTATAATGCCTAGACTTATATTGAAATGAACATAGTAAAACATTGACCACTGGGACCTCTTTAGAAATTTCATATTAATGGCTCGATTTTTGTCATCATGGATGGATACAAGTTGCATTAGCGATTACACCTTATCTATGGGAAGCTTAATATGTTGGCGGATAACCCTTATTTAGATTTCGTCTATCCATTTGCTGCCTATAGGCTTCAGGTTCTGTAAATAGAAATTTCTTTAGTTTTAATATCAAATCCAACATTTCTAGAAATATTTGCATACGAAATATTGATTGTAAAATTTTCATGGACTTTAATGATAAAGTATAAATAATAAACACTAGTAACCAGTCTAAAAGCAAATGTTAAATTAAAATAATCCATAAGATCAGCATAATTTCTTCAGGTCATTCATTGGGTAGTGACACTCACCTTCCCTTTGATATGCATTTCGTTTCCAAAATCTACGAAAATAATACGCTGCAGTAAAAGTTATGCTAGCGATGGCTGCCAAAATACATCCAATTGTTATCATAATTGCATTTTCTCGATGGTTCTTCGTTAAATTTACTAAAAAGGAAAAACTATGGTGAGATTATAGATTCTTGAGGTACAGTATTAAGCATAATTACGGATAATTTATTAAATTACAATACCATTTCCATTCGATTTTGACGATGTCAAATTTTTTAGTGCTGATGGTCTAAGTTTTTCGCATATAACTCCTGCGCTTCTAAAGAATTTGCAGGTTGATATACCCGAAGACGATATAGGACACTGAGATATAGTAGATTCTGATCCATAACATGACATTTTGTCTATCCAAATAGGTCCTGAGCCATAAATGAAATCTTTAAATATTAAGAGTTTTCCATTATAAAAAATCAATTATAGTACAGTGTATCAGATATTAATAAAAATTTATTTTTATAACTATAGCTTCCATCCCTAACTAAAATTTCTATTAAAATAAAATATACCACAGATTAAATTTTGCATTAAAATTACTCGAGATTGCAACTTTACTATTTATTTATCCCCTCTAAGAATAAATTAATTATAATTTTATGTACCATGCCTTCGTAATAAGAATAAATGACCTGTCTGTTTGACCGCTTACAGCATTGCGCCCACGATTGCTTTAAATATTATAAACATTAACAACATTAATTGAATCATTACTGCTACAAAATATTTCTTACAACTAATAATTTAGGTAAGTAACATTATTGATGGAGGCTTTACGCGAAGCAAGGCAAGACAATGACTATAGAGCAAAATTGTAAAATTAATTTGCGATCGATTTCGGATTCTTTTTCATTTTCAATACGAATTAATGATAACAAATATTGTTTATGGCAACAATATTCATTAATTTTAAAAATAGTTTATAAGGATAGTAATTCTAAACTAAGTATTTGTCTATTTCCATTACAGGTTATTAATCCAGGTGTCGGCAAGCCCAGCTGTCGACAGATAACGGTTGCATCCGCGCTTGTTAGAGAATCGCCACAAATAGAACCCCACACCCCATTACGATATACAGCTATTCGTCCGTGGTTACCTCCCATCAACATGATAGGAATATTATCTGAAACTATAATATTTACCAATGCGATCATGATGACGATACAGTGTGATTTTGATGATGGCAAAGCATAAAGCAAACTAGCAAATTTAAACATCTAACTGACATGAACTAATATTATAAGTAGGACCATTATTTTCTGGAATTGAACATGGCGTGATATTGCAATAGTCCCAACTTGGATTAGTATCCATGTCGGTGTAGCACCAAGGCGCTGAATGTGCCTCATCAGGATTGCGACAGTAGTTGTTTGCATAATTAATAAAATCCTTGCACTAGGTTTTACTGAGACTTTTGGGCTCCTCCAATCGATGCAATGACTACCATTGATTGCAACTGATGTTTGCCCGGCATAAAATCTACCGTCTTCGGTATAGCAATTCGTCTCTAAATAAAGGAAGACAATCATAGCAAAAATTTTATTGCTGTATAGGTATGAAATATCCCTAAATCGAAACATTCCTATATGGAACACGCCTATATGTTTAATTGAAATGGTCTATATTTCGCGATAGAATACTAAATAAGAATGAATTTAAAAGTTACATTGATGTAATACTTCCATACCTAAGGGGTATATGAAAATATCATCAATAGCGATTCCGAAATCTTCAGATCGAATAATAATCTGTAAGCACGAACAAATTATTAAATACAGGTAGGTATTCTTGATAAGAAGAACTAACAAGTTTGTTCTTCGCTTTCCATGGCATACTATATCAGCTGCATTAGCTATTTTATATCCAACTTACGGTACCTGGTAACCCGGAAATTGTGGTTGAAAGACTTTAGTCACTTTGTACCAGTTCTTGTACAACGTTCCATCAATCAGTAGCGAATGATAGCTAAGGCTAGAATCGTATCGCGGATAAACTACAAAAACTCTCAAAGTACGAGTTCCAGATCCAAATCTCTTTAGATAAAATTCTAACTAATGTAAGAAGTATAAATACAAACATTCTTAGTTTATCAGCGACTTAAAGAAAGATAAATGAAAATAATTATCGAATTATTCATATATTGCAATCAAATCTGTTCATTACGTTTATTATTTTTATCAAAGGCTGAGAACTAGTACCGTATTGCATAAGTGTAAAAATACTGTTAAGATGATACATACGAAGACTGCTTGTGCTTCTGTAGGTAGAATCATAGAAGGACTACTTATCTCAGCTAAACCTCTAGTATCACTAGTGTTTTTCCGGCCATTTACTAAGCGCCAGCCATGCCCTAATTACATCCAGAACGTAACAATTTATGAATTTTCAATATCGAACTGCAACATCATAATCAGGAATTCAGCTGTCGAAGAATAGCATGAAAATAAACTGTTTATGTGCATAAGAGTCCGTAGCTAACATCAATATAAAGTACTACTGTATTTTAATACAAAATGTAAACCCGTGCAGTGCACTAATTTAATTTCTACAGTAATTCCTTTAAGGGTTAAAAACTCGTTCATTACGTCATCGTAATTGCCGGTTAATAAAGTAAATTTTCCTTAAATTGGTATTGTAACATTTTATGAAAGAAAATTTTACCCCATTTTTCTTAAATTAATTCAGCTTTAAGCTATAGTTAATGTTTAAATTTTCACTTCTCTCAAATAAACGATTTTAAATCAGCTGTCTTCGAGAATAAATAAAGATGGATATTTTCCATCTCCAAGCGTTTTCATTTAAATCAAGGTTTTGTCATAGTAACCGAAAATTTCTAATTATCATTCTTACTAGATAGAAAGTTATATGACAATTCCCAGCTATATCGATCGTATTAATAATTTGAACGAGCTTGTGTTTTGTACTTATGATATTCCTTTTCAACATCATAAACTGCATAACATTTACTTGTTTGATTTAACTTAGTGCATTGTGGTATATATTAAGCGAGTCCCTGATATGTAAAGGTTTACCATCATTCTGAGACTTCATTGTACCAGATTGGTAATCATGGTATTTTCCTTCTATTTTATTACGGTACCACATCGTGGAGTTGGTTCCGAAAACATGATGCCAGCCACAAAATCCATACTCAAAATCGCAAGAAGTTGATGTCAATGGAACTTCTATATTTTAAGTTATATAAAAAAGCACTTTTTAGCATTGAATTATTCCTCATAGGTTTCTATATCAGTAAATATTACATCAGCCATTAAAATGATAAAAAATTACTTCACAACTTGGATATTTGCCGAGATGTGAAGGTATATATAAAAGCTGTTTTACTAAATACGCTCATATGTATGTTCACTTAAAATCTTATAAATTCAACGTTCCTAATTTTATAAATTTATATCAATCGGCTAAAACATCAATGATGATAAACTAGGAATTAGCAAATAATAATTTGAATATAAATCAGATATGGAAGTAATTAGCGCATAAGATATCATTACCTGAAAAATCATATGCCATTTCGAATTTTTCTATAAAAAATTAGTAAGTGAGCATTACGTTAAAAAGAGGCAACAAGTACAGATTATTCAATCTTTCATTTATAATCTGCCCTTTCCGTTGGAGATATAAAACAATATAAGTTACTTTTAGCGGTCTGATCTTTTCGTACACAAATGTAATTCTGCCATTAATCTGATGTCCAAGCATTTTTTATCAATAGTATCATCGAGTCAAATTAAATCTTAACATAGACTGAATTAAGTGAAACTGATGTATTACTTTCAGTTCCACATATAACACCAGTTTGATATCGAGAATATTCATAAGGCGTTCCGTCACGATCAAAAGTTGTGCATTGAGAAAAGTTGCCTTCTAATCCGGTACAACGAAAATTTCGTAAGCATGGACTACCAATATTGCTATTAAATTCTGAATAGAAATAAGGTTGAAAAAATTTAACCTAAGTAAAATAATATACTGTAGGCGGAGTAGAACTAATTTCATAAAGTCTCGCAATGTTAAAGCAGTTATAGCTGGTAAAATATCAGCATTGTATCTTACCTCGTGGATAGCCCGGCGTAGGTAAACCTGATTGACGACAAATCACCGAAGCTGCTGGAATGTCGAAAAGTTCACTACAAATAGCTCTCCATTGACCTTCATGATACACAACAACTCGAGCAAAATTAAATCTTTCAATCAATCTAACCAACATTCCACCTAGTATTTGAGAATAAACATACGATATACGCACATTATTTCTTTCATAATTATTTATATTGAATCATCCTTAAACTTATAAATCGTTTATAAACTGTATAGCGTCCTTCGTGGCATAAAGTAATAGGTTCGCATCAAATTTTGTTATACAGGCGCTACATAGTATTAGCAAGTTATACATCTCCAGGTAGAGAATAATGATATACCTTTCCTGATACTAGTCATCGTATTAAAATTTGAAGGATTATTGCAAGAAGAAATGTTGCAATAACCCCATTGCAACGTAGAACTGTCGATATAGCACCATGGTCTAGCATGCAAAAGTTCAGGATTTCGGCAATAGTTATTTTGTAAACTTTCATCATTATTCTCTCTTTCTTTAAATAACTTATTGTAAATCATGGTGTCATTCCAATATTTGCACATTGTTCGATTAGCCGTAAAAGATGATGTTCCGCTATAATATTGGCCACGATCAGTAAAGCAATGTAACTCTATTAAGCAAAGTTAAGAAATCTTTAAGTCTATCCCTGAATTAATAGCCTTACGTTCAATAAATTTCTTATAACGGCTATTATATATCTTAAATGACACATTTTCATATTTTGGTACTAAAAAATTCACGAAAGCAGCAATAAAGTCAAATCAACACCGTATTTTACACTATCGTACGACATTATCCTAGTAAATAAATCAAGAAGAAATTTTAAATTTTACATATGCAAAGTCTGAGTTTAGTTGCTGAATCTTCTGAATAAAGTGAATTGCTATTGTACGTCATGCTTATCCACGGAATATGTCTTCAACATTTTAATTTGAGTATACAAATCATGCTTAACCAGTATCTAGTCGCATACGATTTATTATTCATGCTTTCATCACCTTCAGGATGGACTGTAAGGTCGTCCAAGCCAATACTGCCATGCAATGAAATACCTATGGTACCGCGTATTACAATCTGCAAATAAATTAATAAGGCTGTCATCTATACAACGCTGTTACGGAGCGATGCTCCGAAATATTAATTGCTATGTTAATTAAAATATCTCATTTAAATTATTGTTTGCTCCAGTAGCTTATTAGATATTAATGTTTATTAATAAGTACTTGTTATTGCCAAGGTATCAGAAAGTTCAACATTGTTGACGTGTCAGAGCTAACATGCTTAGTCAGTAAATGTTAATTAATAACACCTTAAGTGTAAGGTCAATTACTTTACAGAGCCTTGAGGCTCTAGTTGCTATACTAGGATATGTATACTGGACTGTACAGTGTAAGTCGCTATGTCAAGAATATTCACAAGTGTACCATCGGCGTTGGCCGAGACTATAAAAAGCCGAGCACTAGCTTAGCTGCTCAGTTCCAGTTAGTCACTTGCAGGATCTTTTGACTATTATTGCTAAGAATATTCTTACGTTTTTCTTTAGTAAATTTTATGACTAAGTTTAACGAAAATAAAATGAAGTATTTAAAGCTATTACTCATTAGTAGCTTATTTGTATCGCTGAGAGTTAGTTCAACTACGATAGGCCCCTAAGTTAGTTGGGAACACGAGTACTAGTGAAGATAGTGTTTAAGACCCGGTTTCTTGTTACAAAGGAGATTTGTAACACACGTATATTCATATATACGTTTTTTATTAATTTATAGTAATATTCAGATGTGTCTATGATTTCAAAACTTATCAAAACAAAGAAAATACACTACAACGTCTATTATATCGAATAATTTTACGAACTACTCTTATAATAGAAGCCTACCTGATATTCCCAATACTTAGGAGTAAAAGAAATTGTTTTCTTATGCCAATTTTGATCATGGATGCTACCTGTCCTCTCCCATAGTAGATGACGTGGAAGATCTTTATCATATCTAGGATAAATTGCATAAACTAACAAGCTGCCTACCCCTGGTCCATACATGCTAAAATAGAATTTTATCTGGAAAAACCCAGAAATTGGAGTAAAAACAGTAAAGGTAAGTTATATCCAGTTAACAATGTGCGTATACTACTTAATGTATATTGCTTTGCTACACTATCATGACAAATAAAAAAACACATATTGACTACAGCTTACAGTACATTTACTACTATCGATTTTAGATATGAATAAAATCACGTTTAACTACAAAATTTTAGCGTTATTGCAACTGTATAAATTTTTTATGACCCAATGATACAAGTCACAAAAGAAATCTAGTATCAAAATATGGTACTTACAATAGCATTGTTAATACGTAAAGGCAGAAATAAGGGAGGACTCAGAATTTCTGCAACTTCCCCCGATATTTTATAATCCAAATTTTGTATAAGTAAGAAAAATCCCCTGTCTTCAAGAACGGATAGGATTATTAAATACCAAAGTACGGGAATTATTATATCACACTCTAAAATTTATTTTCGATCTTTCAATTTAGTCTTTATTATTCAGTAAACTCAATAAATTATCGATTTTATGTACAAGCAACATTTTACAAGCTTTTATTATGAAAGTTACTATTATCAATGTATCAACCGTAATTGACACAAAAATATGTTTCGAGTATAGCTATTTCTTATAACTTAATATTTATTAAAATTAAAGAATATGCTTAAAAATTTTAGTTGTAACTTCGAAAAGTTGATAGGAATCTCATTTACGCCTACTTAGCGAAGTTATAATATCAGCAAACATTATATCAGTAACCAAGAAATCAATCAAAGGAATCTCATTGCCCCTAAAGACTCACCATTCTGATATATATGATCTGCGATTGGACTAAATTTACTTGTTGGCATTTGTGTTTGATTTCGACGCCAAAAAAATGCACTCATACCAACCAGATCAATCCATTGACAATTATCTTTCTCAAAATCGCAACTCGTACTTGAGATTGGAGGCCCTATATAAATCATATTTTTTATTATAATAAGAAACATTTTATTCTACGTTATAATAATTTATCAATGACGAGATTTGTGCTCTGAGTTTGAAGGGAATGATACGGTGCGAGGTATCTTAATTTTGGGTGATTTGCAGTACCACATATTGGCATTATTTTAGAGAGGTATAAAACTGTAACTACAGTCATAATACCGCCAACTCTTTTGGAAAGGGCGATGAATTTGGGAAGTTTAGTAGTAGAGAAGTCAGAAGCTAGAGAAATTTGAGATATAAAATACTCTACTTTTATTATTAATCGAGAATAGTTTATTTTTTCTTTTGGTTGATTGGCTCCGGCAAGGTGATAAATCTACTCTCTTTGAATTTGTACATTTCATATCAATTTTTGAATCATCTTACATGGCTACACTTATTGCACTTTTCTCATCATTATTTATAAGTTTGATGTTTCGTTGATTAATTTCAGTATTTTCCGTTAAAATTTTATAAATTTTGTCTTTTGAATTTGTACCTTGGCTATTAATTTGTTAGCTATTCTACGCGATCATGCCTATTATAATTTTCTCATCATTATTTTATAAGTCTGAGGTTTGGTTGGTTAATTTCAGGATGACGGTATTCTCCGTTAAAAGTTATCGTGTATTGCATTACAGCGCCATCGCATTTATAGCAAATTTATAACCTTCTTGCTCATTAATACTCAACATGCATACAAAATGAAATGAGTGAGATACATACTTCATCAAGGTATAATTTTCTAGGCTTTACTATTCGTGCAATCCTGTATAGTATATTTCAGCACAGTCGAATTGTAAATTGATTACAAAAGATATTTAATCGAAAAAGAAAACTGTTACTAAATTCAGTAAGTTTAACGAATTACTTGAAATTTAAGAAATAAGTTAGCTATGTTGTGAATGCTAGCAAACCCTTTTAAAATTCGTACTTTAATTGTGTGTCGAAGATATGAAAGTGGTCAAGTATCAGTAAAGAGTACGCTAGGGTTTGTAAAGATTTTTCAATATCTATTACTTGCATAGATCAAAATGAGAAACCTTATAGAAATTCAATCTTTAGAGTATAAAAATAAATGTGCGAACGAAGAAATATTAACAGTAATTTTGATGCGAACAACTTGTGACTAAAATTTTTCACCTTACCTCATGTATTAATTAATAAATATCGTTGACTACCTTGTTATTCAATCACTTACGTGTTAAGTTATAAATTGTTGAGAAAGATGTACTATTTCTAATAACTTTACAGTAACCTCCACGAATGGTTGATATCACCAATGTAAAAATGAAAGTAATAATGATAGACTGTTTAAACATGCTAGGCGTAATTTTTATGCTTGGTTCGGTTTTGGAAGTAGAGAATTTACGGTATTTCTTTAACCAAACGTGATATTACGCTGACTGCTATCAGTCGCTTTTAATAATAATGAATCTCAACGAATATTTATATTAGTTGTCTATTACCATCGGCTAAGACCAGTACTTAGAATATACGAAACTAAACATAGCTTAAGCAATATATTAATATATTAGTAATCACTTATTATCTCTTGTAATCCACAGCATGTATTGTAGTTGTACACTAGTTTGGAAGAATTACTGGCCAATCAAACTCTTTTTAGTCAATTCCATGTCAGGATGTTGATGGAATTATTCAACAGTAGCACAGTATGAACACTGCAGAATCTAATACGGCAGAGTACACTGCATTGCGATCGAATTATGGAACCAGCAGAAAGAGAAAATGATCACTTTGCCAATAATTCGTGGTATACTGAACTGAGCGTAGAAGGAGTGACTAAGTATACGAGTCTTGACACATT